AACTGGTTATTTCGAACTATTCTAAATATTGAACCTCCCAAAATTTTCTTTTATGAACTGATAGATATATTTAAACCTACCATAATTTATTTTAACCTAATTTTTCTTAATATATCATAAGTAAGTTTAAATTAATTTATAAATTTTTAAAATCAGTGATTTTTTTTCATTGCGATCAGATTTTTTACAGATTTATTACTTAAACAAATTTTCTCTCTTCATATTCGGCAAAAATGACCCTAGTTTTTTATTCCAAGCTCGCAGGTTCGGCTTATTCACAATAACAATAAGGAGGCCTGGTCACAGACCGGGCCGCGGGGGCGTTGACCCCCGGAACTCTCTCCAGATAAACTCCAGATTTTATAGATGAAATACAATAACGACAAGTTGATGAATGAGACTTGGGTGATTTTATTTGTCGAAACGTTTCATTTTACAACTGGCTCCTTCAGTGGAATACAGGTAAATACACAGTAAGCAGTAGAATTAGTTTTGAGGTATTCAGTCCATCACCCTCGGTGTTGAGTGGCGGTCGTACCACCTCCCACCCACGGTTACTGACTGATCACTTCGGAATGAATTATATTGCCTCCATTCTATTCATTGTATTTGGCTGAGGGAACTGGTTGTACTTGTGCAACTCTCCACTCAAAATAAACACCCTAGTGTTGTAAATACATATTAATCAGTAATTGTTCATTGTTGCACCCTCTGAATGAGGCCCAATGTTTGTAGTGTATATTGTATGTATATATTTACCTTTTCATATAATTTTATATTGCAAATATTTTCATTAATAGCTAAAATGATAATATCTTGCTTTATATTATTATTTGACTTATTATATTAGCTGTTGAAGAGCTGTGATTGGCTATCTGCCTTTGCAAACCGCCTTGCTATCTACTGCTTGCTTGTTTGTGTCAGGTGGTACGTCACATCATCGCTAGAGTAGCACAGACGTGTCACCTGATCTCACCTGATGTGAGGCTTGCAGTCCATACTTCTCTCTCTCTCTCTCCATCTGCTTCTAGTCCTGGAAACATTCCTCGAGCGACTTCGAGAAACATTTTTCCAGGGATCTGTCTCGTCTCTAGCTGTTTGCTCATTATTTAGACTCTGTTTTGGTGAAATATGGTTTCGCTGGTGAGTTCGAAACTCACCTTTCGTTCAGACTTAGTGGTTTTGACGTTTTACAGAGGTTGTGTGTAGTGTGGAGACACTCTTCAACCCTGATCCCAAGATGAAGCTCCTGACATGACTTTGTGTGGCATCTACGACAGTCGTAGTCGGGGATTTGGATATGCTGAATTTTCATTCAGTATTAAGGGAGTTTTATTCCTTTTATGGAAGATCTGCTGATTATCCTCAATTAGGGTTGTTATTTTGTCTCCTTTTTCCTGACGCTGTGCGTCTGCTTGGTACATTATTGCTGTTTGGCGAATGTTTCGTCATGTTCGTCATTTTGCCTTGATGGTCGAAAAGATAGATTGTTTGAGGACTTATTGTCAGTCACTATTTAAGTCTATTTCGAGTCAAGTTTTACTGAGACATTACGAGCGCTTTGAGCACACATACACATTCATACACTTATATATATTTGTATTATTCGTATTCAAGAGTATATCTCATCATAGTAAAGTACTCACGATTTGTACTGTACAAAAAGTGCACTTAGCACAATATTACCATATGTACAATTCAATATTGTGCTTCAAGAGATATGAAGGAGCTTGTATCCTAAACTATGTAATACTTATTATCCACCGAGTTGTAATCCCAAAACTCTATTAATATTTCACTCAAGTCAATGGATAACTAGACCTGATCTTGTTCTGACAACTTGTTACAAACCAAAATGATGTCTATACTTTATGAAAGATATCGCCTTTTTTAACATTCATTTACTATACATGTGCATATGTATTTTAAATATACATGAATGTGTGACTTGGTATATGCGATAAGAAACAATAATGCTTAAAATAAGTATTCCACATTCACCATCACGATTTAATCAAAAGTTAGTGAGCCACTTCTGTCTCTCTCTCTCTTCCCCAAAACCACTCATTAATTTTATGTATTTCTTAATCCTTCGTCCATCCGCTTGTTACAAGGGAAGAAAAAACGAAAGGGAAGAAGCGGAAATAAGTGCTGGAAATAAATGTAGAAATAAGTGATGGAAAGCACTTATTTCTGCTGAAGACTTGTGTGTTGAAATGTCAAGAGTCGGGGGAAAGTCCATTAGAAAATTATATATGTGTAGGAATGAAGTCATCGTCAGGTTTCGGGATGGGGAGTTTTTTCAGGCTTTGTCTTGGAGGACCTACAGAAAAGTCTAGAGATGACGGTGATGCCTGCGATATAAAGAAAGTGAGAGAGGGAGAGAATATATGTAAATAGGTACCAAAATGTTTGTATTAGTTGGAATTTCGTATTAGGTTCGAGAAAAGCATGGTATTTTATCTTGCTGGCATATCTAGGACTTATCTAGATGATATACTTGCTGGCAGATACTCCAGGGTGCTGTTCTTGACTCGCTTGATGGGATCATAAGTTTTCTTTCTTCCTCAAACATCGTATGTCACTTTTTCAAAGGAAAAATATTAACCAATGTGAATATGAGGGGTGATTTTCAGTTTTTTTTTTAACACACCGGCAGTCTCCACCGAGGTAGGGTGACACCAACGGCACGTCAAGTCATAAAAATCACTTGACTCCAAGCTAACACGATCACACGCGTCTGTTGGATGTCTAAGCCAATTGCAAACAAAACCTCTTTTATTCTATTTCCCCATCCTTTCCTAGAACAGCCTCTTCCCCGCCTTCCCTCCACTATTTATTATTCACACTTCAAATCAACCTATTTTGTTCCCTCTTCTCTAAATGTCCAAATCACCTCAACAACCCCTTCTCAGGCTACTGGATAATTACTTTAACAACCCCATATAAATCACACCCATATTTCACACCTATGTATGAGTGTTGGTACTACTATATTCTCATACATTCCCTTATTGCCTTCATGGATAACGTCCTGTGTCTCCACAGATGTCTCAATGCACCACTCACCTTCTTCACCTCGTCAATTCTTTCACAGACCCATCTGCTAACAGGCTCACCTCCAAATATCTGAACACATTCACTTCCTCCATACCCCTCACCCCCTCCCTCCAATCTGATATCCAAAATGTCTGTATTTTTTGTTACCTCTCATCATCATGCTTTCTGTGATCGAAAATTCTTTACTGCAATTTTTTAGTTGTTGGTTTAAGTTCTTTCATTGCCAAGTGATAACTTGCTATGTAATCTGAGGCTAGATGTGAAAAAAATGATAATCTATTACTAATCTTGCTGTATTATCTGTTTCTCTTTCGACCTCGGTCTTGAAGGACACGCCTTTCAACTTTAATAATTGGAACGTGATGGGGTTTGTTGTTTCGGGATATCTGGGTCTCATTCTATAAAATATCTTTCCATTACGTGTGGGACAACAACGATCCGACGGATTAAGTTAAGGATGGAGTGTCCACGTGTTTGAAATGAATTTCATCCTAGTCGGTGTCGCTCACTCTGATAATGCGTCCCAATTTTTTCGTATGTAGAAAGAGAAGTGTTAATCGATAGAGGTCAAGAGACTTTATCATTGTGCTGATTGCATATATATCCATGACTCCTATTTATATATTTCTTGTCGTAGAATAGGCGTTTAAATGTTTGGTTTTCATGTAAAACGAGGTACGTGTGATGTCACAGCAGTGCGTCAGTTGATCCGAGAACTGTCACTTCTGCGTGGGAGAAGGTGGGGTCATAGTCAAAGTAAGGATCAAGAGTCATAGATGGCGGTATATGAAACACTGGTACCGGGATCAAGCAACAAGTGATTGCAAGGTAGCAATTCTGAGTTCTGATGAAAGACCATCACAATGCTAGGGTTAGTAAAACATTTTGCAGTCTCATGAGATACTGGAGAGTAAATTGTGTCATTGATCAGCTTAGACACACAAAAAAAAATGATGAGAAATCACATACTCACCGAGAGCCACAACCACCTCAGCTTCCGATGTCTCACAGGAGGATAACCTAACATGTTCTAGGGTGATCCAGTTTCTTTTGGGCCGAGTGACACTATAAGGGCAACACTACCAATGTATGCTACGTTAGTAAAAGTTGGATAATTGTTACGTTTCCCTCTGGATTCATTAAAAAAGAAGTTTCTATATTAATGGAAGTTGGAAAATTTTTTGATTCGGCCCTAGAAATAGAATAATAGGTTAATTCCTCGAGTCAAGAACTCTTTCTCCATTGAAATGTAAGTACCGTAACAGGTCACACTTATTGAGGAAATTTACAAATGACATTCTTAATTGAATATTTTGCTGGATTTTTTAAATAATTTAATAATTATAAAAATATTTTTATCATTTACATTATCGTTAACTATTATTATTATTATTATTATTATTATTATTATTATTATTATACAAATGACACATACTTTACAAAATTTATGGTTATTTCTTTATGAAATAGGAAACTATAAATATCTTGAAAATGTCGCCATTTGGTATTTTTTATTCAGAAATTATCTCTCAAATTCTCAGTGATTTTCTTCCTAAATATATTTCGCAGGATGATTTGTATATGCCAAGAAATAAATGTGAATTTATATATAACATATATGTCTTTAGGTTTTATGTTCCCATAGAACTTACATTTATTTCAAATATCACAATTAACAGCTTAAACTAGGCATTGCTTTTAAAAAATACATGAATCATCTGAAATGAATCATCTAAAATTCTGGATTGCTTTTAAATTACAATATGCTACTAAATTCGTAATTTGTTGACTTATACAAAAGTATTAAGAGTAGTAAAGAATGTTCCTCATTTTTTTTTGTCTCCTTACCACCTGCAAAGACATCTACTACCTTTTACAACCATCTCACCTCGTTGTTATCGACTTCTGATGTTAGGCCTTTATTTCCCCATAGCTATGATATGAGGAATGGTCCAGCCACTCACTGGAAGAACCCAGACCACCTTGGGCTTCGGGCCACTTTTGAGGCAGCGAGAAACGCCCTTAACATCCAACGGGTGCAGACTGTTGATGAAGGCACCTACCGCTGCAGGGTGGACTTTAGAATCAACCCGACACTCACCTTCACCTGCAACCTCTCCGTTGTTGGTGAGTTTACCCTTTCAGGAACTACCAGCCTTCCTGTTGTAACGGAGTTTTACCTTTCAGTAACCACCAGGTTTCTTGTTTTTTTTATTTAGCCTCTCAATGACCATCAGCCTTCCTGTGGTTGGTGAATAAATTCTTTCAGTCACTAGTAGGTTTGCTGTTACTGACTAGTGAACTTGTCTCTCACCAGCAGTTCATGAGTTTAACCTTTCAGTACCATCAGCCTTTCTGTTGATGAGTGCAACCGTTCAGTGGGAACCGCCTTTCTTAATTTAACCTCTGTTGAAAGTGAGTTTAACAGCTAAGTCATCACAAATATTGTTGTTGCTTTTGAGTTTAGCCTTTAAGTCAACAAAATCTTTCAAATTGTCTAATTTATATAGCCTGAACCTAGCACCGCCTGTCCTAATCTATAAAGCCTGAGCCTAACACAGCCTGTCCTAATTTTACATTACCTGTGCTAACTTATCATCATCTCTTCTGAACGAAGCAATCGAATATAAGTATCATACTCTGATCTAACTTTCCCTAATCTACACAAAACTAACCAAATATAATAAAAGTTAAAAATCTATATTTTTCTAACCTAGCCTATTTAACTATATAATATCTTATTCTAATTTAACCTAATCTAACGTAACTTAACCTACGCCAAAAAAAATGTATTTAACCCTTCCTAACCTAACCAAACCAGTTGTAATAGATACTAATTGAACATGATCTAACCTTTTCTTATTTACCCTAAGTGTAGCCTAGCCTAACCTGATCTAAAATATCTTTACCTGTCCTGACGTATCCTCTTCAAGCGTAGCCTCACATAATGTTTTAAAACATAACATGACGTAAGCTAACCTATTCTAACGTGATCTATTCCACTTTAAATTGATCCTCACTAATCTTATCAAATGTTGTGGAATCCATCCAACCCGATCTGAAACAAAAAAAGAATCTTCATATACAAGTTAATGTAATGTAAGTGTCAGGCTGAATATTATCGTCACTAAGTTTGGCCAGGCTGATCTTAATTATTCACAATTGTATCAACACAACTTCAGAACCAGATTATAATATGAGCTGTTGTAGTCTACTTTTTTTCTTCAGTTGATTTTCATCTTTCTGCTACTTCACTATGACCCATGGGTATAATTATCATATGTACTGTAGAGCGCTGCAATAATTCTGAATCGCTGTGGTTGTTCCAATTTTGATCTGACGATTCAATATATACACTATACTTATATTTTCTTTCAATTAATGTAAGAGCGTATTATTTGTCCTCGTCTTTGAGTAGGGATTAATGTAGGTAAAATATTTCTCACACACGCATATAATGTCATTAGATTATTCTTCTGAGAGCTTATCTCTGCTAGAGATGTCAGACTCACAGGGTAGCTTTTAGTTGGTTGTGTAACGAGGTTTATAGTCTATCGACTACACAAGAGTTATTATTACTGTATGAAACTTGTTTACCAAGAGTCAAAGATTTTATAATCCTTATTGTAAGGAATAATGTAAACTCTCATCATTTATACAATGAGAGACACATATCTCAAAGCATATATATCCTGGTACAGGTGTTACCCGACCTAATGTAAAGAGTAAATGACTTCAGTAAAAGATCTATGAAACGGCCCCCCCATAAAGCGGATGCTAATTAAAACGGACAAAAATGTGGCCAAGACAGAGGCTCAAATTGTACATTTAATGGGATATCCGATTAAAATAGCCACGAAGCGAACCAAATGAGCAGTATCGAACGACTGTCCAGTTAAGTCCAAGCTTCGTCCAGATCCTATTTTTTCATTGTGATGGTAGAAACAAGCCTCTATTGTCCAAAGGGAAATTATGCTTGGAGGGTGCATGTGGCATGCAAAGAGTACGTAACCTTTATTCAGCGCATGGACACACCCTCATTGAAAGGCTATCTCCCCCAACGAGTGAACCAGTACTAAAGTCGGACGATGGGGCCCCGTCGTTCGATCAGTACCCAGGTTCAGCCAATGAGAAGATAGTCCTGGCAATCGCAGAGGTGTTATGGGCACCACCCGCCTGTCTGCCCTTGTCATTTCCATTCTAGAGCTGGTTGAAGCACGGTCTGCTCTCTAGTGGCATCTATTCTGCCTTGCTTACCATAGTGTGCACTAATACCTATTGTTGTACATAGTGTATATAGTGTACATACTTCTGTTCTTACTTGGTGACAGGATAATACAAGTCAAAAGTTTTTCTGCTGTGTTTGTTTTTGCTCCCTTTACACCCAGAATAACAGGCCTTTGAATTCCTGAGTTGTAATATGGGTAGCCTGTCCGGGATCTGGAGCTGGACTTGGAGCACGAGTTGAACCAAGGGTGACGCTGGAGCAGGAACATTGTGTAGTTTGCTGTCTGGCATTGCATTACCTTTGCCAACGCTTTACGAAACTTTGCGTGTCAGCCTTGCGTTTTATGGTCAGCCTGCTATTGTATGATCATGACAGCTTGCTATTAGCTTGTTCATTGTGCTCGCTTCGCTACGGTCAGTCTTGCTGTTGTGTGAATACTTTGCAGTCAGCTTTGCTATTGTGTATCAGCCTTGCTAGTGTATGTGCATATTCTGCAGTCGTACTGTGCATAGCTAAGCGTGTATTGCAAATAGCGTGTTACATTGGGGTATGCCGCCTAGTCGAGTCAGAAGTCTAGTGTCTGAATACACATTGTTAAACTTGTCTAAATTTTCTCTACAGCGTTGTTGGCAAATTGCTTGTTCCATTGGCAGTGATTACGAACGCACTCTCACAGCTACGCAGCTTCATACTCTTATAAGTATCAGATTTCGAGAAGAGGAGATGGCACATCAAACTCCTCCCTCTACAGGAGCCAGGAGTAAAAACCCGATGTTCTCGCAGGACGAGAATGATATATCAACTGAGCAAAATCGTAAGTCTCATGCGGCAGGATTGTCTGAAGGCGAATCGGCTGCGTTGGCACTTGAGCTGGCGAGAATAAAACTTGAGCAGATTAGGGAACAGAGGGCATATGCCAAGGAAGAGTTTGATAGGGAAAAAGAAAGAAGGCAGTTTTCTCAAGTTGTAAATGGCTTTGGTTTACAGAAAGCAGTACAGCTGGTGCCCCGCTTCAATGAGGCAGAACCAGAACAATTTTTCGAAACTTTCGAAAATCAGGCTCGAGCCTTGAGGTGGCCGGAACAGCATTAGGTGTCATTGGTTCACACAGCATTGTTTGGTAAGTCACAGGAGTTTACGTCAGTGTTAAATGACACTGATTTTACCAATTATAAAGTCGTGAAGACCACAGTCCTTGGAGCATATCAATGCATCCCAGCTAAGTATTGGAAGTCATTCAAATTCAGCAGACGACAGTTTGGTCAATCCCTGGTGGATTTCGTGCGACAGCAGATCAAAGCTTTTACCAATTGGTATAAAGCAAGTGGTGTCGCCACCTTTGATCTTGTGCAGCTTATATTAATAGATAACCTTCTGGAGTCTGTGGGACCAGAGGTTAGAGTCTTTCTGCACGATTGTGTCTTAACCACTGCATTGGAGGCAGCCAGGTTGGTTGATACCTTCGAAACCAACCGCTCCTTGTCCGAGCGATCCCATCTCTTTTCAACAGCCTGGCATGAGCAGAGATCGTCAACACTGGAGGATGAAATGCCAGCCGGAAGGAGAACGTCTACGTCAGCCAACTAAGTCACCTGGTGAGCCACGCTACTCAACTTATGGTCAACCTGGAGAGCGACAAACCTCTCAACATGGTATAACTCAACAACAGTATCCAGAGCAACATCAATTACAACGTCAGCAGAGAGCTAAGGTTAAGCCTGTCGTCTGCTTCCTATGCAATAAAGTAGCTCACATCCGCCAAAACTGTCCAAATAAACCCCAACCATTAGGGAAAATCTATAGTGTCCCTAGTAACATGTCCCTGAAAGAAGTACAGAAAGGGATGGCTCCTTATTACTCTCAGTGTCGCATTTCCCTTCAGGAAGACTCAAAAACAACTGAAGCCAGAACCTTTAGAGCTACTGGAGCATATTGCTCGCTTATAAGAGAGGGAGTAGTTCCACTTTCTGGACACACTTCGTTACAATCCTCTGTTTTGCTTGAAGCTTTCGGAGGAGCGATATTTTCTGTCCCCTTGCATAGAATCTAATTACAGTGCAAATATTGCACTGGGTATTTGACTGTAGGTGTATCCGAAGGATTTCCTATGAAAGATGCCATGTTATTACTGGGTAATAACATTACCACTGCTAGTGTATGTCCTGAACCCATAATGATTAATTCTTCTCTGATGTTGGCCATAACTTGGGCAACATCCCAAGGGTTATCTGGCGAGAATGCTGACCTATCCTTGGACGACTCTGATCTCGGAATAGCCAATTTGTTTTACGAGGAAAACTGGCCAGAGCCTCGCAAATTTAGTGAACAGACCCAGATCAATCCTTCCTATTCCAGGGTAGCAGGATTGCCAGATATCTCTGATTCCATGCCCGAGGGACTGTCTTTCCGGGAGGAACAACGAAAGGACCCTTCTTTGAATTTCGCTTTTCAGGCAGCCATGGGTAAATCCTTTTCGGATCATCCGGCCAAGTATAAACTTAAAAACGACTATTTGATCTGCACTGAGACTGGTAAGGAGATAGAGGGCATGCAACTGTCAGACAGGTTAGTGGTTCCAACAAAGTTTAGACCTAAAATATTGAATATAGCTCATAATACTTCATTAGGCCACCTAGGAATTACTAAAACATTATATATAATCACAAAAGAATTCTATTGGCCAAAATTAAGGCAAGATGTGAAGAATCATATCTGATGTTGCCGAGAATGTCAACAAGTAGGGAAACCTGGACATTCCATTAAACCTGCTCCTCTCCAGCCTATACCTGCTGATGGAGAACCTTATTGCAGAATTAATTATAGACTGTGTAGGTCCACTACCTAATTCCAAGTCTGGAAATCAGTACTTATTTACCATTATGGATAGAGCAACTAGATA